AAAATGTATTATAATAATTTGTTACAAATATATATTTTTTAGATAAGAAAAAAACAAGCTTTTTAAAAATGACATAGCCATCTATGATTCTCATTTAAAAAAATACAATTAAATTGTTAACTACATTATTAAATTCTACGTAAAAAAATGCCTCTATAATGTCTTTATTTCAAATCTGTGTCTTCTATAATAACGAAGATATGAATTTTTTTAGATTTCGCTAAAATGTCAATTTTTGTCTATAAGTCGAAAACAAAAGACGATAGCGGAATGCGGTTTTAACCAATATTATTTTCTCAAAAAATGAGCCCCAGAATTACCAAAATAGGTAAAAAATACTGTTAATTTTGTGTTTCATTAAAAAAAAAACAAAATTAAATAGAAATTAATGTTATTTTGTTTATTTTGATTTAATTTAAGTCAAAAAAATTAAGTCAAAAATAAGCCGAAAAACTACAAAATTTGGTCGAAAATATTTCAAGCATATTTTTGCACTAATCTCTGGGTTTTCTCGCAAGATTTTGCTAAACCAAACTAAAAAACAACAAATTAAGTCAAAAATAATAGTTTTTGCATTTTTCAAGTATTTTAGAAAGTTTTTTTTTTACAAAACTGAGTTCTGAGTCCAATAAACTAGCTGAGCATTCGAAAGGGGCCTGGAAATGTTGGATGTGGATTATTGTCCTCAGTGGTTTTTATAAGTAAATTACCAAAACAACGAAATTATTTCCCCTAATTAATGTATTGTTCCAGATATGGTGTTGTTTATGAAAGTAATGAAGAAAAAATAAATTACGTTTCTTGCGTTAGATTAAAATCCAGTTTGTTTCGACTGAAAAATCGGTTAAAATCGAGTTGGTGTAACAATTGCAATAAATGTCGTCCATTGGCTCGTTCATGTAACCGGGATAGAATAAACAAAAGCGAATCGACTATAGTATCAGTGCGTTTTTGGAACTGCTGGAATTCGGTTACTTCCGGTTCGGTTAATTTCGGTTGCCAGGTAGCAGCAACGATGCAAAAACTATCGCACAATTCCAACAAGCGGATAATTACGTTGTAGACCTTTGGAAAAATAATTAATTTAAGTTAATTAAATTTAATTAATTAATTACTTCAGTCGGGACGTTGAATTGAACGGCTGGAATTTGGTGTAACCGATGTTTGTTTTGATAAGTGTGACTCTAGGAAAAATTAATTAATAAATTAATTGGTTAATTGTGAGAATTACTTACTTTATCAGGGGTCAAAATGAACGTTTTTGCGAGTAAATTACTGATGAATTTGTGATGGACTTTGATGATGTCCTCGAATTCGTTGGCGTTTTCGATGGCTTTTAAAAGTAGCGAAAATTGGGCCTCGATTATGTCCACTTGAAGGTAATATTGTAAATTATTGACGAGGAAAATTAAATGTTGGCGTAAAGTCCACACTCGACGGTCACTACAATTCCCAAAATTACTTATTTTCTGAAATTGTATTTTTTTTTAATTATACAGAGTGTCCGGAAAAAACGTTGCAAGATTTCGGGAAAAAAGATAAAAAAACGTAGCTATGACTTTTAGTTCCGGAGTTATAGACAGTTATCTATTAGGTTTCAGGACATTGTTTACAATTTTGAAAAAATCGAGAACTTCAAAATTGGTACAAAATTACGTTTTTTGCACTTTTAATAGTCTGAAATACTAAGAAAAGTGCATATAACGTTATTGGGTCAAGTTATTATGAATTTTTGGATTTTTTGAAGATGGGCACAAATTGAAAAAAAAATTCCTTTTCACTTTCCTTATCCTTTTCCTTATGCGTGTACAAAACAATTGGTAAAAAGATACAAATTATTTAGAATCATGAAAAATGCCTTTTTAAATAGTAAAATGTGACAAAATAATAATAATAACGGGTACCGAACTAAAAAAAAAAACTGCACCCCAGACTCGAACCCGCGACAACTATGATCTATTTCGTGGTAATCCGGCAAAGGTTACACTAAATTATTGTCGTTATTAGGATGTTTTCCAAATAAGTAGGATAAGGAAAGTCGTGTGATGTTCAGATCAGATTTTTTATTTTGCAAATTACGGCAAAACTATAGCTCTAAGATATAATATTTTGACGTAAACCAATGTAAAATGTTTCGGGGAATCGATTGGCGTCAATTAAACTGCAAAATTCGTAGCAGTTTTGAAGTTATAGTCGGATTTAAATTCTCGATATTTTTGACTTTATCAGAAATTTTCTCAATAACTATTCATCGTAGAGCACTGAAATTTTTAATATATGATAGAAAATTCACTTTTCTATCCAACGGTACCAAATATAAGAGGTTATCTCTAATAAGTCCGGAGTTATTGCCATTAAACCGCTCGGGGTGCCAAAAATCGACCAAAATCTCGACAAAAATCAAAAAAAAATTTAACTTTAAAATTGATCCATTTAACGTTTTTTACATTTCTAAAGGTCTTAAAGACTCAAATAAGTGCATAAAACGACATTGGGTCAAGTTTCAAAAATTTTGAATTTTTTGAGTTTTTGAAGGTGAGTGGTAGTAAAATCGTAAAAATAATCAATTTAGCTTAAGTCGTAAAAACGGTTGAAATATGGTTTTCTAGAAGTAAAATTACTCGCTGAACACGATGCAACAAGTTAAAATACTCTACGATGCATAGTTTTTGAGATATTGAGTAATAAAGTTAAGAATAAGGCTAATAGTATAAGCACTATATCCGATTTTGACAAAAAATCAACATTTTTTTATTCTTATGAAAAATTAGTACTATATGTAAAATTAACCGGAGAACACGCCTGTATAAACCCTGTTGACCTAAGACTCATAGTTTTTGAGATATTAATTTTTTTTTGAAAAAACTAAAAATGGCTCTGTACCCGGAYCCATAACCCGGAGCGACTTCCGGTTTGCGCCAGTAAATAGATAATTTTAAGCCAATTTTAATGGTTTTTACCCCTTTGCTCTAAGTTCTATAGTTTCGTAGAAAAGGGCGTTTAAAGTTTCACAATTTTTACAATTTTCACTTTTTGAACGGCGATTACGGCCAAACTATTAGACTTAGAGCAAAGAATTTAATTCCATCGTAATCAGCGTAAGAAAATCTATCGACTGAGGCCAAAGCCAAGTCGATATCTCGCAAAAAAAATTGAATTTTTAAACGCCGATTACGGCGAAACTAAAGGAGATAGAGCAAAATAATTGGGAAATTCGTAATTAGCGCGTCAAAATCTATCGGATAAGATAGGTTTAAATTGAATCTGAGACATGTTTAAAAACACTAGTTTTTAAGGGGGGGTGTTGACAAATTTTTACTTTTTTTTATTTTGTAAATTGCGTCAAAACTGTGTCTCAATGACATAATATTTTGACCTATACCTATGTAAAATGTTCCGGGGAATCGATTGGCGTCAATTAAACTGCAAAATTCGTAGTAGTTTTGAAGTTATAGTCGGATTTAAATTCTCGATATTTTTGACTTTATCAGAAATTTTCTCGATAACTATTCATCGTAGAGCACTGAAATTTTTAATATATGATAGAAAATTCACTTTTCTATCCAACGTTACCAAATATAAGAGGTTATCTCTAATAAGTACAGAGTTATTGCCATTAGACCGCTCCGGGTGCCAAAAATCGACCAAAATCTCGACAAAAATTTAAAAAAAAATCAACTTTAAAATTGATTCATTTAACGTTTTTTACACTGTGTTGAATTAAATTACTAAAAAAATTAACAATTAACTACTTATGTCAACCGCCATGTTCAGGGGGCTCTAGCTCCCTCAGGAAGCATTTCCGGACACAAGTCCATAAGAACTTTTCTTCTTATTTTAACCTAAACAACCACCCCCCGAAAACTTTCAACGTATTATCCGGACACCCTGTATAAAATTATACAGGGTGTTCAAAAAAAAAACACTCACATGACTTGCTTTCCAGACATGTGCGAGTGCCACAACTTATGTAAATGAATTTGCGTTTTGTTCAGTCTCAACAAATAACAGAATAATTGATTGTAAAGTTCCATCGATTTCGGATTGAAGATAATATGAAGAGGCCACGAAATTTCAAAATTGAGTTGTAATTTCGACCACGGATTCACACCTAAAACAATAAATTAATCGGAGTTAATTTAATTTAATTTCCCGACTTGTTTTATCCTTTGATAGCTCAAATCTGAGATAAGTTTTGTCATTTTCCCCATAAATTTTCCGGGCAGTTTCCCGGAAAATTATGTTCAAATTCTGCGAATTGGTTTGATTTTCCGCCGTTTCGATGAATTGGTGGAAAAGCTCGCCGCGCCCCAAACCATAATAGTCTCGAATCAGTCTCAAATGGTTTTTTAAGTCGCCCTCATCGACCATGAGCGACCACAAGTACTGGAAAACTCAATTTGGTTTAATTTTCCAATTACACAAGGCGACAAAAATTTTTTATATCATTTTGTTCGTCTCAGTGAGACAAATCAAATGCACTAAAAAAAAATTCAAAAAGTCCACGCACTTTGAACTAAATAATTTTTTCCTAATTGAAATTAATTTAAAATACTTAACTTTAAAAAATCATTACTCAATAACTATTAGGCCGATTTTCTTCAAATAAAGACCATTTTAAAGGGATGCCTTTGCCCTTTAGGATGATATGAAATTTGAAATTGAATATTGGCAAACTTTTCTTCGAACAGTGTTCGAAGAAGTTCGAAGTAAATCGAAATAATCTAAGAAAAACCCTACCAGTAATTTTTTTTTCTTCGTCACCATCGTGTAGAGCATCTTTTTATTAGTAAGAATCCAAATTTTTAAAATAATATACTGAGTAGTTTTTAAGATATGATTTTTTGAAGTTAAGGTTTGCTAATCAAGGGGAGAAATGCATGTTAATCTCATTTAAAATTGCATTTTTATAAAAGTATTTGTTTTAAGACTCTTCTTTTGCTTAAAAATGGTCAATTGCACCTTCTTTGTTCTAATTAGAATAAACAAAAACTGTTTCTTTACTTAAAACAAATAAAGAGTATCTGCGTACTAATTAAAGCAAATAAAGAGTTTTTTTTTTGTTGTAAAAATGTTTATTGATCATTGAGCAAAAAGGATCTAGCAGTTTAAAGTAGTAGCTTTAAATATAAGAACAAATCTTTTTCAAATTAAATCACTTTCCATTCGGATTCCAACTTGTTCACTTTGTTCTAGCTTTCTGATTTTTTTTTTTTTGAAAATGTTCTTAACAAATGCTTTCTTATCACTTTCTACTGATGTTGAATGCAATAAGTCAGTTGCTTCGTGTGCAACTGTTATCACAACAACTACTACCTACAAGATAACTGAAGCTAATCGTAGAATGTACAATCAGCGTAGAAAAAATTGTCTTCCTAATAAATCGCGCGGACCCATAAACCATAACAATAAATCTTTTCCATTGTAAACGTCATTTCTTATTCAACAGTATATTTAGTTTGAAGTGAAACTCAGTTACCAATTTTACTTTCAAWTGAGTAAATGACAAATTATTRAAAAACATTCAGAGCTTTATACTGCTTAAAATTAAAATAAAAAATTGTTTTAATTGATGTTTAATTAGTTATTTATTTACTAAGATAACAAATAAATGCCGGTTTAAATGGCATAATTAAATAAACAATATTATTATTAAAAATACCTAATAAAAACTATCTATTACTAGGAATGAAAAGGCCAAATCTAACCTGAGACTATTTAATATAACTCTTTAAAATATTGATACTTACATACTTTTTTTTGATAAAGTTGTAAATAACAAATTAAATAATTTRATTATTAATTTTTATTCAATTCAAACAGGTAGACGTGCTGACTTTTTGAACTCGTGGCAACCTTTACAAAAAAAAAAGGATATTTAAATTGAACTATTGAGATGTTTACAACCAAGATATTGCAATCGCAAAGCAATTGTAACAATTTGTTTTTGCTAATAATTGTTCAGTTCAGTCATTTTATTAAAACT